TGTGTGTGTGTGAATAAGTAGATATGATTACAAATATTAGTTTTAATGGTCAAAAAGCCAGCCAAATATTTATATACATATATACGTATATTATTTTTGTTGGTCAAAGTAGTCAATATAGTATGACCTATTAACACAATACGTGTTTAAGGCGAGGAACGGAAAGTGAAAACCATACTTCTTCTTTGTTTAGTTCCTTATTATGAATCTCGGAAAGAAACTTGTGTTGGTACACCCAATGCCGACAGCTGTTCAAACTGGCTATTCGTTCGCACAGGGAGATGTGAGAAATACCTATTTTTGAAAATACCGGATCCATCTTGGCAGTTATAAGCACTTGGCTGTGTGTAAAATAGCAAGTGATTTTATTTTCTAACCTTCTTCTCCATTAAACTTTTTTTCAAACAGGGTGATGACGTAGGTGTTTGTTCTTGCTATTTTTTTGGTATATATATATATATATATTTTGTTTTTAAAAATATCCAAACAAACAAAAGATTTCACGTATTGTTTTATTTGTTTTTGGGGTGTGGGGGGGTGGGGGTTCAATTTTTTTTTTAAATATCCAAACAAACAAAAGTTTTGACGTATTGGTTTAAAATATTTTTGGGGGGGGGTTCATTTTTTTTTAAATTGGCGGCTACCAAGGACCAATACCGCCATCAAATTGGCCCAGAGTCCAGACTGCAGCTGCTGAGTGATACATTTTTAGCGCTATTTTTATTTATTTATATACTGATATCAACACGTGATAAAAATATCATATGCACAGTAAATTGTAAATACATTGATAACTCTTAAAAACATAATAGCCGGTATACTCTGTCTGTAAAGATAGCAGAAGGCTGTGGTATGAGTATTATTTAGGTCTCTTTGTATTATTGTACAATGGGGCATCAGGGGCATCATTCTCTCTCTGGGGCGGGAATTGAAAATGGATAAAAAATAGATTCTCCTCAATCCTCACCACCAGAGTCCAGAGTACAGACACCAGGAACAAATTCATTTATAATGACAGTTATAGATAATCTCATCATAGACCTTCTGGAAATCATGAATGTATGTTTTTTTTGTGCGAAAGACCACTCTCCTCTTGTGGAATATGGCAATAGAATATAAATTTAGATCCCGGAGAAGACTTCCAGACGACTATGATATTCTTAGGACTGATAAAGTAAGTGCTTACATACTGATAGGTGCGCATATCTATATGACTTTACAATAATTGTTATAAAAACCCTGTTAAATCCCGGGAGGAGTACATATATACGACAATATATATATCTAGTTATTACATTATT